GTGGAAAGAGACGCAGCTTATTTAACCCCTGGTGTGTCTGGACTGTTCAAAAAGAAAAAGCCTGGCTGGTATCAGCTATTTTAGTGTTGATGAACCTTTGTGCAGTGTCAATTGTTTAAATGGAGTGAATACTTAACTCTGTTGAGACCGAAAGGTTGGTGGTTCGGACCCCCTAAGTGGCTGTGCAGTAGAAAGACCTAGACCTAGTGATTGCTTCCATAAAGATTACAGCCAAGAAAACTCTGTAGAGCAGTTCTACTCAATATATGGGATTGCTATGAGTGGCAATCTCAACAGCACATAGCAGCAGTTCTAGAAATTGCAGAGTTGGTATTGAGTACTGAAGGAATGCTTTGAAAAATATAGAATGCTTAATACAGGATGAAGGATAGATCCTCTGGGTCAGGATTTTTTGAGCAGTGGAGTATTCAAGAGCACAGAGCTCTTTGCTGTTTGTTGGAGCTGCAGACTTGGTGTTAGCATAGCAACAATAGGTGAGCATAACATCCCTGTGAATTTAGAGGAGTCATTTGAGGGGCTGAAGGAGGAAAACCCAAGAGCAGTCTGGGGAAAGAAGGAAACACTGCTTTTTGGGTTTCAGTGGAGAATGTGAGAGGCAAGAAAAGCTGAACAGTGTCAACTGCTTTTCCCCAAAATGTGGTTGTAGAGAGGAAAACAGGGCTGCTGCTAGATGTACCAAAATGTTGGTAATCGTTTTATAAGCAATATTCATATATATACACAAATATATATCTACATATTTATATATATACACACATATACATTAGTGAACTGAAAACGTTATGCAGAGTGTAACATACATGTATTTTAATAAAGGAATTTAAAAAGCACTTTATAAATAATTACACATCCATCCTTTATTTTTAATCATAGGTAAGTTGAGGGCCCAGTTAATATGATTCCTGGTGACACAAGAAGTTTTGGAGACCAGAACATGGAGGGATAGGACTAATTTTAAATAGGAAGTTCTGCTATTCTTGGAACCAGAGATTAGTAGTGCATTTTCTGGGGTGGTGAATATTTTACACAACAAAGAAACATATTACATTTTTACATGGGAGAGGAGGTGCAGAAAGGATGGGAATGTTGGGGTATGTAGTTGGAGAACAGTGATTTTTTTTTTGCGTGCATCAGAATCACCTGGAGGACTTGTTAATAGGCAGAACTGGGGTGGTATCCAGCAGAGTTTGATTCAGCAAGTCTGGGGTGGGTTCCCAGATCATGCATTTCTAAAAAGTTCCCAGGTTTTGGTAATGATGCTGGTCCAGAAACCACTTTGAAAAGAACCATTGCTGTGGAACCCGTCTTCGCTGTTACCTTCCAGCACTGGCCACATGAGGGCAACAACTTCTCACTTTCACAGGCCTAATTTATATTTACATTTAGTCAGGCCAATGGGGCCAAGTTCAACTTTGCCAAGAGTTGCAGGTGAGTTCTATCAGCCTATCGGTTGCTCTGTGTGCTTAGAAAAGAAAGCCTGAGAAAGAATATAATCAAAGGGCCAAGCTAAGCAGTGAATACCAATGAAGTACACAGTTCAAGTACAAGACCCAATGGACGTGTCACAACCTTGAATTTTTCACTCTGGTTTTATCTGTTGCCTGCCTCTCACTTTCTTCCCCCTACCCCCTACAGCTGGCCACAAGAAACTTTAAGGGTTGGTGCTTGTTTTAATCATTTTTTCTGTATTTTCATTTTAAAATGAGCTCAGTTGTTTCCAATTTTCCACCAAAATATACACTGTTACTTTTTAGTGTGTAGCTCTCATCATTCTTTAGTTTCATCTTTAATTTCCATTCTTTTCTTTCATCTCCCTGCCCCCAGCCAAACTCACGAAGTCATCTATAGTTTGAAGCATTATCATTCTATTTCTCACATCCCTGCTTCTATGTAGTAAGTCTAATGGTGAAAAACCATAAAATCCACTATTTTGGCTCAGTACAAATAATACTAGCATTGGCTCAACCTTACTGCTGCTTGGCAAATGTTCTTGAATCTCTGGCACTAAAAACTATTGAGAAAGCAAGCCCCATCCAACATGAGTGCCATTCCTCATACCGAAAATATCTGAGCCTACATTGTTTCCTTTCTCAGAGGAAGGCCATCTCTTTCTTTCCAAGACAATAAATACCTAAACTGGTCTCCTGGCAGCCCCTCTCCCTGACTCCTACGGCCTATTCTCCACCTGTCAGTTCAAGCGAGCTTGTAAAAATAAAAACCAGATCAATTCCTGGCTTCCCATCAATCCTAGGATCATCCCAACTCCTTAAAAAGGCTTGTAAGTATCCTGGCCCCTGCTCATGCTCTAAGTTCAAGCCAGGTTACCTGATCACATCAAACTCTTCCATTCTCATACTGGTCTGTGACCTGGAGGGTTCTCCTCACTCTTCTGGTCAGTTCCTTCTCAATCTTCAGGCCTTGGCTTTAATTTTACTTCCTAAGAAAATGAACCAATCTATCTAAAGCTCAGTCCCCACTGTGACTCTCTTAACATCATTCTTCCTTTATGTTGTTGTTGTTGTTATGTGCCGTCGAGTCGGCCCCGACTCATAGCGACCCCTCCTTGGGTTTCCGAGGCAGTATCACTACGGAAGTAGGATTGCCCAACCTTCCTTCCGAGGAGTGGCTGGTGGGTTTGAACAAGTACTGTTCAAATCTGTAATGTTTTTTACTTTCTTATTCTTGCTCATGTCTGCTTCCTCAAAACACACAGATGATCTCTGAAAAGACACACCAAAAATAACCCTGTCCATTAACCCTCCAGCTAGGATACCATCTTCTTTGCCACACACCCCTTCATAAGGTCCTAACCCTGCAGCCTCACACCAGCTTCCACGCAAACTATCTGCTGTTTGACACACTTCAAAGGCACTGAGTTCCTGTCCTAGCACTTCTCAAGTTCACAGTGATGCTGATGCTGCTGGTATGGGAACACAATTTTTGAGAACCATTGCCCTGGAGTAACTAGTTTAGGTGTCTGGGCTTACACCCAGTACTGGCCACACAAGGGGAACAACTTCTGACATTCCCAGAATGTTTGAGTTCATTATGGTCTTGGGGCTCTTCCCCAGTCTTGATTATACTATAGCAGTTGCAGCCTTCCCAGAACATTTGTTCCCCAAACACAATCCTATCCTGGCTAGTCTTGGCCCTTTAGGACAGAGTAGGGAGGAGAAAATTGGAGTAAAACTAAAGAGCCCTGGTGGTTAAGTGCTTGGATAACTTAAAGGTCCAGGGTTCAAACCCATCAACCCCCCTGTGCTCAGGAGAAAGGTGTGGCAGTCTGCTCCTGTAAAAGGCACAGCCTTGGAAACCCTGCTGAGTTCCACTCTTACAGGGTCAGCGGGTTTTACAGGATTTAAATCAGGGCCATCAGGCCAGCTCTCCCCCTTTACAGGTTGGATGGCCTTGGCCAAGTTGGCCTTCTTTGAGCTTCCAAAGTGTGGAGAATCACACCCCCCCCCCATTTCTATAATGCTGTGTACCACTCAGTGCATGATTTGTAGGTAAATAAGACAACTGTTAACTAAAATTGTTTTCCATTGCCTATGAACCACACCGTGTACATGTACTGTTCTTTTTTACCATTCCAATGCTATGCTTTTTTTTTTTTTTTTGCATACATTTGTTGGTATCTAGGTGGAGTCTTAATAATTTCATTATAGTATGTTCATTATGAAGGAAGAAAGGAAATCTGTGCTTGTGAGTGGAAGTTATTTGGAGCTTAAATATTTGTAAAATTAGTGATCAAAAACTTTACAAAATTTTGGTATTCATTTTATAAATAATACTCCTGTATGGTATGTATCATCTCATCTAGACTAGTGAACATCTTAAGCATACAATGTAGAGTGTAGCATGAAATGCACATATTTCAATAAAAGAATTGAAGCACTTCACAAAAAATTACACATAATCCTCTTAACAACTCCGAGGTAGGCACTATTTATCATCTTCATCTTACAGAGAAGAACAGGTACAAGCAGCCCATCCAAGGTCACCCCATTAGTGAACAGGATGCCTGGCTCCCACTGTTCTGATACATCTACATCACAAAGAAATTAGTTGGTACATAATATACTTAGGTGCTGGCACAAGACCCTCATATTTTTTGCCCTCCAGTCCCTTAAATGTTCCTCTCTGAATTTGGAGTTTTTCTTTAACGGTGCTTTTAAAACTACTTCCGCACCAAACCTTCACTTCAGTGTAGGTACTTGAGATGTATCCAGTTATATTTCCCCCAGTGAGATTTCAAACTCAATGCCTTAATCCAATCTCTTCATATTCCCCGTTGAACTGTACTGGATATATCTCCTGATCATTCTATTCTCTTCCCCTAAACTTCCTATCTAGCTCCTTCCATCCCTCTATCACCCTAGTTCACAATTTAGCTACCTCATACCCATAAGTCAGAATCTACCGTTAGTTTGTAGTACAGTCTACTTCACACATCACTGACGACTCCACTGCAGCGCCCGTATTTCACTTTCCAGAATTACCTCTCTAAAATAACTACAAGAAAAAAAGGCCACACCAGTCATGAGTCCTCATTAACTTCCAAATAGTCTCAATTTTCTTCCAAGTCTTTTATCTGTTATTTTCCTAATTTTGAAAAATGCCCCCACACCTTCCCTGATTATTCAAATCCTTAATATTTTTTAAGGTCCATCCTCAAGTAAACCTACCAAATAACTGAGAGATCTTCTCTGAGCATGTGGCAATTTAGAATCTAGACTACCACCCATTTGGTAATTAATCATATTACACTGTAAGCTCATGTTTATTTCAAGTCTTCTCTAACCAGACTATGAATGAAGGCAGACCTTGTCCTTTCTTGTGTATAGCCCATAGCATCACACATGTTGGCTAGTTGATTTCATCACTTTTGAAAAAAATACTCTCTGGTTTCTGACCACAGGGCAAAGCACCTCCTCATTCATGAGGACAGAGTAGATAGGGAGAGGCGAGTATCCTCAAAGGAAGGGATTAATCAATTACTTTACTTCCCCTTGTCTGAAGAGCTGTGGAAAGGGAGGGAGGATTCTTAAAGAGCAACCACTCTCTACAGTGGGGTGAGGCTGCAAATTAGATCCATCTCTGTTACTGGGAGGAGGCGATGCTACATGCTGCTGGAAATCAAACAACAGTGAGACTGGTAACAGTTCCAGCTCCCATGAATCTCCAAGCAGTGACAGGTGGTTGGCAAAAACTCTCCGTTCTTTTATTCCTTTCTCTTGTAAAGGGAGGTTCAAATTCAGCAGCAACCTTCTGCTGTCCCTAAGTCCCCAACTAGACACAGAGACTGCAGGCACCAAATCTTGGGCTGGGTGATGGCATAGGCCCCAGAAACACGCCTCCAGCTTTGTGCTGCAACAATTGCTTGTATCACTGAGTTAGCACTAAATCCATCAGGAAAGAATAGCACCACTCAGAGACCAAGAAGCAGGCAGCTGGGCCTAAAGCTTTAAGGTAGACCAGAGGCAGGCTTCTGAGAGATGAATGGGGAACATCAGGGCCTACTGGGTCACATAAAGTTTGGCAAGACAGAATCCCACAATAATGAAGATCACCTCTGTTTATACTGAGGGATGTCAAGGACAAAGTCAGCTCAGTTTTCTGAAGAGTAGCTGAACAGACAAGTCTCTCAGGGAAAAAAAAGAAATCTTAATGGTATCCTGGTCACATCAAGGCAACACTCCACCTTCATGTGCCTGAGTGGTTGCTGGGCCAGCTGCAGGCCAGAAGCAGGTTTCGGACTGGTGACAGGGAGACAACAGGGGATTTCGAGGCCACACACACTTGTCTCTTGGGAACCTCCAGGAAGGAAAGCTCATTCTCGGGGCCGATTGACTATGACTTCGCCCAGAGCCTCAAGCACCTCCCTCTTGTAGTCCTCGAAATCGCCGTCAATTTGGCTGACGCTCTGCTCCTCCACCACCCACAGCTGGCAGTTAGTTTCTGTGATGAGTCGGGCATCATGGCTGACGACAATCACCGCTTTGAAGAAAGGGAGGAATGAGAACACACAAAGAGAATGCCCTAATTCAAGGACACCACAGCCTGGTCCCCAACGGGAGGAGAAGGGCATATGTACTGAGCTGACTTACCGCCCTTGTACTCATTAATGGCCTCTCCCAGAGCATCAATAGACTCTATGTCCAAGTTGTTGGTTGGTTCATCCTGAAGAGGAGGAACTCCATGACTCAGCACCTACAACTCCCCCTTCTTATTCTATTACCCCGTCCCCCTCACAGCCCAGCTCACTCACCAAGATGAGGACATCAGGTTCCCGACAGGCCAGCTCTGCAAACACAACTCGGGCTTTCTGCCCACCTGCAGCACAGGAGAAGGAGAGCCGTCACACCTTCTACCACCTTCTATCTCTGAAGCTGAATCATGAATGTGTGTGTCTATGTGTGTGTGGAGGTTCCCCAATTCCAGGTTCCTCTTGCTTTCTGCCTCTAGGTACTATTTACAGATATGAATGATAAGGAGAGTGCCCCTCTCAGCCCCCTACAATGGTACCGGAGAGTTTGCAGATCTGGATGGTGTGGGCGTGACTCTCCAGGCCAAAGCGGCCCAGGCACTTCCGGGCATCCTGGTAAGGCAGGTTGAAGCAGCGCTGCAGGTATTCAGTGGGTGTCTCCTCCATGCGCAGCTGCTCTGCATATTGCTGATTAAAGAAGCCAATTTTCTGCCCGAGAAGGGAGGAAGATGGTCAGTGAAAATCATACTTCCTCTATCAGATTTTCATTCTTTAATTCCCAAAGCAACTTACCAGCCGGTGGTTCTTTCTCATTTCTCCACGGGTCTGAAAAAAAAGAAAAAGGTGAGACAGAGTAGGGGATGGAAAAATAGCTCCGTATCTGAACTTTTCTAAAGGGGAGACAAACAGCAGATTGGGCTGGGAACAATTAAGTGCAGGAAAGGGAACATGGATGTTCACCACAGCATGGCGAAGGCATGCATAGGAAATGCGAATGAGGGGCGAAAGGAGAGTAAGAGAAGAAGAACAGGAGAGAGGAGACAAAAAAGACAGACTCAAAACCAGAAAGACACTTACTTCTCAAACAGCAAGACACACAAATGCACACCCTAAGAGTTCTGCCTCAGATGGGCCACTAAGAGACTATGTATGGGGGCTCTAATAACACCTTTCCACAGATCTGCTCTCTGGGTAGAACACCAGCCCTCTCAGCACTCTCCTGGAGGGAATAGAAATGACTATAACCTTTCTAAAGAACTACATGGTGATACTGCAAAGTGCTAGATGCTGAAAGCGATTCTTGGGACTGTATGCTAAAGGAAAACTGGTTATAATTCATTAGGATATACAAGAACATTTACTTTCAAACAGGAATACCTCGTTTTATTTTGCTTTGCTCTCTGCAGATAGAGCGTTTTATAGAGTTTGCGGCAACCCTACATCAAGCAAGTCTATTGATGCCGTTTTTTCCAACAGCATACACTTACTTTGTGTCTCTGTGTCATCCTGGTAATTCTCATAACGTTTCAAACTTTTTCATAATGCTATTGCACACTTAATAGACTATCAAACCAAACTCACTGCTGTCAAGTCGGAACCGACTCATAGCGACTCCTCCTTGGGTTTCTGAGGCAGTATCACTACAGAAGTTGATTGCCCAATCTTCCTTCCGAGAAGTGGCTGGTGGGTTTGAACCGCCAGCCTTCTGGTTAGCAGTCAAATGCCTTAGGGACTATGCTACCAGAGCTCCTAACAGACTACAGTATAGAGTAAACATAACTTTTATATGCACTAGGAAATGAAATAATTCACAACTTGCTTTACTGAAACATTTAATTCATTGAGGTGGTCTGGAACTGAACCTGCAGCATCTCTGAGGTGTGCCTATACTGTCCTTTAGTGAAAAATCAGAAATAATCTAAATGACTGACATCAAATAAATTATGGTAAAGCCTTATAAATGGATGTACACACGTAATTATCAACATGGAAAAATGCCTGATGTACATTATCTGGAATAAGCTGGTTACAAAACAATTCACCTGACAACCCATTTCTGTTTCTTAAAAATCATATGCACCTTTGAAAAAGAACAAAGGAGTCAGCTACCCGCCAATACATAAATGTTGGTTTTCTCTAGATTCTTCTCTTAGCTTATGTAATTTCTAATTGTTGTACAATAGACATATTTCTTTTATTACCAAAACACGTGTGTGAGGTATGCCACTCAATCCCATACAATTCTACTAGCTCTCCTCCCTGAAAGGATGTAAACTGTTCTGTCTACACTGAGCCTCTGGTGAACTGGTATGGTTTTGCTCTCTGTGGCTCTAAGACTCACCGGTGTCAGCTTGCCCGTCAGCAGCAGAAGCAGGGTGCTCTTCCCCACGCCATTAGGACCCACAATGCAGACTTCAAGAAGGAAGACAGGCAGTCAAAGACATCCCCATTAACACTCCCTGAAGCTCCGGCCCCACAACCGTGAGCCACCCAACACCCTCAACTCACTCCTTGAGTCCATGTCGATGCCAAAGTCCAGGTTCTTAAAAAGTGGCTTCTGGCCCTCATAGCCAAATGTCACACCTAAGAATCAGGAAAAAAGAGCAATTTACTTCCTTTTTGGAGCCACCCCAAGGGTCCCCCTGAATGCCCTGCCCTTGTGGTGGAGACTTGGCGATGTGTGTGTATTAAGTGGCGCTTCGTGTCTGTATCCACTCACCATGCAAGCCCAGCACAGGAGGGCTGAGGGGCGGGGGGTTTGGGAATGTGAAGCGCACAGTGTACTCCTTGGGGCGCTTCAGGAGCTCAGGGGCCTCCTGGGACTCTTCATCCTGGTTTTTCCGTCGGCATTTTTGTTGCTTTCGAGTCAGGGCTTCCTTTGTTTGCTTTTCCTGGAGAGGAAGAGGAAGGAAAAAAACCATACCCTCTGCAGCAGTCCTTGGCTCCTGACCCACAGCCTCCCCATCTCCACTCTCATGAGAAAGGAGGCAACTCAGCCCCAGATGCTCACTGCCTGCTTGGTGGATTTGCCACCCGCCTTCAGCTCTTTCAGCTTTTTCTCCTGCTTCTCATACTGCTTTAGCAGTTCCTTCTGTTTCTGCTGGTACATCTTCTTGAAAGTCACTGGGGAGAAAAGGGGTTAAGAATCAACAGCTGCCCCTCTCCCCAATAGAAGGGCAACCAGGGACTGGTAAGGATGGGAGCAGGCATCATCACCCTCAATTCTGAAAAAAATGTGGCTCATCATCACACCCCAAAGGGTCCTTCCTCTCAGGCCTCTGCTGGAGGTTCCACCTCTTTCTACCGCTCACTAGCGATCCTACTTACTGTAATTGCCCCTGTAGTAGTGGAGCCGTTGGGCATCGAGATGGATGATATCAGTGCAGACATCATCTAGGAAGCCCTGGTCATGGGAGACAATCAGCAATGTCTTCCGCCAGCTCTGGAGGTAGCTGGGTTGTAGAGAAGAGTGTAGAAGTGTCATAACCGTCACATAACAGAGAAGTCAAGGGAAGCAGAGAGTGGGCGCAGGGAGTGACAGAGTGGGGGCTGCACTGAGAGCTGTCAAGAACACAGGGAGGGCAGGGGAAGGAATCACAGAATGGGAACCAATGACACAAAGAGCATCATGGGTGACTTACTTGTTGAGCCAGATGACAGCATTGAGGTCTAGGTGGTTAGTAGGCTCATCCAGCATCAGCAGTGTGGGCTCCATGAACAGTGCCCTAGAGGATGGAGCAGTAAGGGTCAAGGGGAGGAAGAACCTTGCTCACTGAACCCTAAGGGGCCTCTGGCAGAGTCTAAGAGCATGAACATTCCTTCCAAGCTGTTCACAGAGAAGTTCCCAGGCAGCAGATGTTGATGACCAGATGCCACAACATAGGGAGAGAAATGGAGGAAGACCCTGAGTTCTCATAACAAATAGCAGGGAAGGGGGAAGTTGGCCTTGAAACGCCCTACTGGCCTTAGAAGAACAGGAAGAAGGGAGAGGATCTGGTTTTTTGAAGTTGGAAGGGAGGGTAGTGAGGTGGGTGGCTCACCTGGCCAGCGAGACACGCATGCGCCAGCCCCCTGAGAACTTCTGTGTAGGCCGGTTCTGCATCTCAGGGTCGAAGCCCAGACCAGCCAGGATCCGTCGTGCCTTGGCCTCTGCAGCTGCTGCCCCTGTGGCCCGCAACTCCTCATACACCTGGGAGGAGGGAGAAGAGGACACATTAGAGGGCCCCAGAAAGCCCTGCGTTGTAGCCCGTGTCCCCTGCGCCATCTCCTCTACCTTCTCAAGCCTCTCAGCGGCCGCGTCGTCTCCCTGCTCCAGCTGTCCCTGAAGCCGTCGTTCCTCTTCCAGCAGTTTCAATCGTTTGGTGTCCGCTCGAAGCACAGCCTGCACTGCTGGCGTCTCATCCGCTACCACCTCTGGGGGTGAGGAGAGCAGTCAGGCCACCCCAAGGCCCAAGGGCCCATTTCCCCTTCAGCTTCTTTTCTGGTTTGCCTGACCCCACCCTACCTTTGCACTTGTTCCAAATATTCTCAAATCTCTCATTCACCCTCCCCTCTCACTGCAGCATCCCTTTCCTAGTTCCCAGCCTCCCCTCTTATGTTTCCCAACTCTATAACCACCATTTCTTCCTGTCTTGGCTCACTCTTCTCCCCCAACTGTCCCATCCCCAAGTCCCTTTCCACCCACTGGCTCACCCTGCTCACACAGCAGCACATCGATGTTGGGAGGGATGCTCAGGGCTCGGTTGGCAATGTGCTTGAGCAGCGTCGTCTTGCCCTTGCTGGGGAATAAGAGGTCCTGAGACCAGCCACCCCTGAGAAATCGCTTCTTTTCCCTTCAGCCCCTTCCCATTTGTACCTCCAGCCCCCTCCTCTCCTCACCCATTGGGTCCCACCAGCCCATAGCGGCGGCCAGCTACAATGTACAAGTCTGCATTGACGAATAGCTCCTTGCCGTGGGCCGAGATGCTGAACTTTTCCAGCTGCAAGCATCAGGGAAGGAAGGGTGGCAGAGGGAAGGGATGAGTACATGAGCATTATTATTAGGGACAGGAGTGGCACCTCTCTCCCTCCAGGGCAGCCTGCTGAAGAACTGGTATCTCAAGCATAACCCCCACGCCCCACCACCCGTCCTCTTCCTTGTCCACTGCCTTTACAAGGGCTCACCCAAATCCTAAGCCAGTCCAGCCTGTCTCATCGTACTTCCCTCCCAAGCATGGACCCCTTTATTTCCACTGGTTTTTCTAACTTCTCTCTCTGAAGCTGCAGAATTCAAGGTGTGGAAAATGCTTCTGAGCTTTCCCAATGGCTTTCCCTTGGCTGCCATGACTGTTTGGGAAATTTGAGAGAACTGGCACTGCCCCGGGTAAGCTGGTTGTGAGGGGCCTTTCAGACTTCACCTTGATGTCAGATGCATTTTCTAACATGGCCTGGCGGGAGGACACCTCTGCCTGAGACACAGAGAAGTCATTTTCCGCAGCATTGGCTGCTTTTAATGAAGCCACTTGGCGCTCGTAGTCCATCTGAGAAAAAAACAAAAAAAGTACTTTTGAGACCATCATCTGCTAGCTTCCAATGACCATGATACAGCCCAATGTCATCAAACAGAGACAAGGCTCACAGAACACAGTTCTTTCCTTACTCCCATTATTCTACTTCAAGTAGCTGCCAAAACTCTCTCCCTTCTTGTCTCTGACCCTGACTTAAAGAATAAAAAATCAAACCCTACTACCTTTGACCACTAATAACTTAGGTCTTACCTGTTTCTTCAGCTTTTTCTTCTCCTTTTTGCTAAGGTGAGCATAAGGATCATCTGCCTTGGGCTCTCCCTCTTCTTCCTCTTCTTCCCCCTCTTCCTCTGAAACCTGTGAGAACCAAAGGGTGGTAGAAAACTAGGGACTCCTTCTAGAACTCAGGTTTCATGCCATCTACCCCCAGTCCCAAAGTCAGCTCTTGCCTTCCACACACTTCTCCACCCAGAGTCCTGAGACATCTTGGTAGATCTTCTTTCATTCGTACCCTACCCCCTGCTTTCCTTGTAGCCATTTATCAATTTCTGCCACAAGAATAGTAGTAGATAAATGGTATGTATAAAATGTGATACAAAATCGCATTATTTGTAATATAATATATACATAACATAACGTATGTAACTATGAATACTAACACAATGTAACTGAGAGTGGAGTAAATGGGATATATTCTTTTCCTCATGAATCAAAAGAGTTGCAGTGGCTTGTTAAGTTAATGCAAAGAAAAGGTTGCGTAGCCCTAACATATAGTCACTGAGATGTCCAAGCAGAATTAGATTTAGAAAGTTCCAAATTTATATGCAGCACCTTAGAGATCAGCTTAACTCCTTACAAATGAGGTAATAAAGATGGAATGATGCATTCAAGGTCACAGAGCCAGTGAGTAGTATAACCAGAACCCAGATCACCTGAGGCTAACTCCAGGGCCCTTTCCTATCATCCATCTCGATGCCCAACGGCTCCACTACTACAGGGGCAATTACAGTAAGTAGGATCGCTAGTGAGCGGTAGAAAGAGGTGGAACCTCCAGCAGAGGCCTGAGAGGGAGGACCCTTTGGGGTGTGATGATGAGCCACATCTTTTCAGATCAGGAGTTAAAAGCTACAGGCAAGTCTGACCTGAAGCCTGTTTTTGCATAGCCTATAAATTAAGAATGGTTTTTACATTTCTTAAGGGTTATTAAAAAAAAAAAAAAACCTGGGGGGGGGGAAGAATAACAACAGAAATCATGCGCCCCCAAAAAGCAAGAGTTATTTATAATCTGGCCCTTTTCAGAAAAAATTTTGCCAACCCCTTTTCTAGATGGCAACCATATCCCCACATCTGGCTCCTCCATTAAGGGCCACAGAGTCCTAATCCCTCTTCCCACTCAAAATTAAAATACACACCTTCTCTGCCTTCTTGCCTTTCTCCTTCCCTTGTTTGGGTGGCTCCTTCTCTTTCATTATTTCTTCCTCTTCATCCTCCTCTCCACTCTCCAGAGCAGCAAATTTATTTTGAGGCTAGCAGGAACAAGACAGCAGTTCTGATGAGATGCTCTAATTCCCGAGATCCAACACGTCCTCTTGCCAATTCTCTCTTACCTTGGCCTTCCCCTTCAACTTTTCTTCCTTTCCTTTCTTGCCCTTGAACCCAGGCTGTTGTTCCTCAGACACAGCCTGGAGGAGAAACACTGAAAATTAATCTGCTACATTGTTGCTTAACAAACATTGCTAAGGAATGAATTTACTATGTTCAGGCTAACTCTACTGAGCATGGCCAGGGAGAAAATGAGAGCCAGAAAACCCTAGCCTCCAGCTTGAAACCAAATGGATAATGAACAGATTAAAGAATACAAGCAAAGCCAAGGGACCATAAATCAAGCCAGTGAGCAATATGGGTGGGTGGCGGCTAGCAATGGAAGCCTTCCTTGAAAAGACAAATCTTGAGGAAAGGTAATGGACATGGGCTTGGGAGAAGGCGTTCTAGGGAAGAGGAAAAGAGAAGTATAAAGCACAAAGGCTTCAACAGAGACACAGTTAAATTAGATGCCAAGACGTGGTCAGGTTGATCTGAGAGGTATACATGGAAGAGTCCCAATAAGACCACAGTGGGGAGTAAGTGGAAGAGCAAAGACTCGAAGCCTTTATTTTATATTTTTAAGGTAATAGAATCACTACATTTCTGAAAAATGAAAAGAGCATTTTAAAAAAAGATGATTTTGACAGTAAAAGCAAGACAGATCTAGAAGAGCTAGTTTAAAAACAGGAAAACAAACAAAAGAAATACGACACTCTGGCCAGAAGATGCTTAATGGGTAGGAGCAACCAGCAGAGCCAGCACTGTCACCTTATTGATCCGATTCTTCTCTGGCTTGGCGGGTTTAGGAGGACACTTTTCTTCTTCCTCCTCCTCCTCCTCACTCTGATCCTGAATCAGGGCCGCAAAAGCATTACCGCCCTAGAGAATCAAAGGGCAAGAGCCATCAGTGGGACAGTCCAGGTTGCACCCCAGGGGTCTCTGTTTACTACACAGATGGCTTACCTTGGTTTTCTTCCCTCCTCGGGGTACCGGAGCAGGTACTGAAAAGACAAAAGGAGAAAACGAGATAGGAAAGAGAACTACAATGTCTGGCTCCTCCATCTAGTCCACCTGAAAGACCTGAGGTGCTTCATTTTTCGTAATTCAAGGATTCCAGGTCACTTACCCTCATCCTCCTCATCACTGGCTGGCACTGAGAGCTTCTTAAGACGCTCCATGAGTTCTTTCTCCTCTCCATCATCGTCCACATCCTTCTTCCGCCTGCCTTTTCGGGTGTCTCGCTTCTTTTTTTGCTGCTGAAAGAAAAAGAGAGTGAGAGAATGAAATCCAGGCCCTTACGATATCTCTGTTCCAGAGTTCAACATCAGCTGGGTGAACAACCATGGGCTGGGTAGAGGCTGGCGGGCCCATGATGTTGCCCAGGGCTGGTAGGTCCCAAGACACCTGTACCTGCTGCTGCTGCTGCTGCTGTTGCTGCTGCTGCTCCTTCTCCTTGAGTGCCTTCTCTTCTTCCTCAGCCTGTTTATCCTCTACTGCCAACTCTTCAAAGAACTATAAAGAGAGTTGAGATTTAAGGAACAAGACTCAGAGACAACTGAACCTTTTCTGCCACACACAGGCCCACTGACCTTCCATTCAACCTTCTCCTTGCCTCCTCTTTTGACAAGAGGTCTTTTCTCCTCCCTTGGACTTCCCACCTCCTTCCCAGGGCCATTTATTTTGCTTGGAAGGACCCACAATCGTTTCCTATATCCAATTCTCACTTCCTTACCGTCTTTTTGGTCTTCTTGTCCTTCTTTCCTTTCTTCACCACTTTGTCTAGAAGGTTAAGCAGACATTGTGAAGAATGACAAACGCCACAGTAGCCTAATCTCCCCTGCAAAGTGCTCAATGGTCTCCACCTTACTTTACTAATTTCCAGTTCAACTGTCACTCCCTAGACACTTGTACTGTCCCACACCTCCTACAGAAATAACCATTCCTACCTCTGTTCATTCACCTAATAAACATGTGTTTACTAAACAGCTATCATATGTGGCACTGTGCTTGTACTGGGGATACAACAGTGATCAAGATGTCTGTAGTTTTCAGGAGCTAACAGGCTTTAAAAAGAGATTTTTTTTTTTTTTAATTTTTATTATGATTTGGGTGAAAGTTTACAGAGCAAATTCATTTTCCATACAGCAGTTCACATACACTTTGTCTCATGACACTGACTGCAATTCCCCAAAATGCAATAGCTTTCTTTCCACTTCCTCCCCATAGTTACCTCTTCCCTATGTCCTTCCCTTCATGCACTCTTGCCCCCTGAGCTGTCTCCCCGTGCAAACACAGCCCTTCTATTCTCTCGTGATTGATCTCTCCAAGGAGTCCACCTAATGTAAATGTTCAGCTCATATGCCTATCTTAAAAAGGTATTTTTAAACAGATAATTACAAGTGTGCTGAATACTCCCAAAGGGAAAGTAAAGCCTGCTGCCAAGGAGGTTGGGGGTTGGGGGCTGACACCTCTCTTGGGTGTCAGTTCTATCCGAAGAGATGCCATTTAAGCTAGCCCCAGAAGCATGAGAAATATGAAGAACCAGCCAGGCACACAGTGGGTTCTAGTGCTGCAGCAAGAGGAAAAAAGCCTGTGTACAAGCTCAGGTGTGAGAAAACAGGCACAATGAGGAACAGGAAAGGATACACATGTCTAAAGCTTAGAGAACAAGATGGAGAATGGGGCAAGGTGAGGCTGGAGTGGAGGGCCTTCTAAGTCTGGTTAAGGAATGGAGACTTCATCTGACACAGTAACTGCTGTACTTTCACACTCACTCTTGCTTCAGAGTGAGGCAGGGATGAGAGACAAGTATAGAAGGAAACCGGTCACAGGAGTCCCAGACACAGACAATGCTAGCTCCATCTAGGATGGTGGCAGGGGAAGGGAGAGAAGTAGATTTCAGAGTGGGGACAAAGACGGGAAGGTAAGTAAGAGAGAACTCAAAAATGACTCATATATTTTTAGCTGGCAAAATCACAAGGTCTAGTGTTACCATTTACTAAGATAGGAAATACGTAAAGAGAATCCCTCCCCCACTACATTACCCTGCCCTCCAATTCCATGGAAGAGAGGAAGATGTTATGAATTCAGTTTGGGATATGTTGTTTGTGATATTTGCAGGCCTGGAAAGACCTGTCTGGTAAGTAAATGAACACCTCAAACTTCGCCCTACTTGCTCTGTTCACGTATTATAGCACGTATCACACTGTTATGTTTTGACTCTCTCTGTTGTCAGCCTTTCATTCAAAAGAACAACCTGAGAGAATGCTTAACTTGCGGTGTTCTCAGGGAGCGAAGCAGGAAGTCAACAGAAGTTCACCGATTGAAAAAGAGAACCTACAGATTGGGAAAAAATATTCGGCAATGACCTATCTGACATGGGACTTATCTCTAAAATTTATAGAAAACTCCAACACCTCAACATTAAAAAGACAAACAATCCAATTAAAAATGGGCAGAAGACATAAAGACATTTTACCAAAGAAGATATTCAGGTGGCCAACAAACACATGATCATTAGCCATTAGAAAGATTCAAGTCAAAACAACAATGAGCTACCATCTCACCCCAACAATAATAGCAAAGTTCAACATGACAGAAAATAAGAAACTATGGCAAGGCTGTGGAGAGATTGGGACTCTCATACACTGCTGGTGGGAACACAAAATGATACAACCACTGTGGAAAGCAGTATGGTGATTTCTTAAAAAGTTGGAAATACAAATACCATTTGATCCAGCAATTCCATTATCAGGTACATATCTGTGGTGGTTATGTTTGTGGGTCAACTTGGCTGGGCCTGGTTGAGTGGCTGGGCAGCTGGTGATAGTTATTCCCCACGTTGAGACTGGCAATCAACTCAATGGTAGGATCTACCACAAGCAGCTGAATAGCTCCCTTTGGGATGTGGTCTGCTTTCTGCATATAAGGAGAAGCTTTGAGAATGGTCTCTAGCCTATGGCACGCTAGGACCCTGTATGTAGCCATGTAATTGCTCAGCAGCCTGCTATGCTCTGCCGACTTTGGGACTTACAATGGACTTAAGTTAATGGCCTGCTGTGTGGTTTGGTAACATCAGGACTGTGCCTTTTTACTTGTCAACCCTGGGGCTTCTCAGCCTCAGCAGCCAGCAGCTGTCAAGTGAAGAAACGCCTCTAGCTCCAGTGGGCCGGGAGCAGGAGGCAGAGCTGGACCCCAAGGTTGAGGGGCTTTTACCCAGTCCCTAGAGCCTGGCACTTTGAAGTTGGACTTAAAGCCTCCAAACTGTAAGAGAATGAACTCCTGTTTGTTAAGGCCATCCCATTTGTGGTGTATTCCTGTCAGAGTGGCACTAGGTAACCAGAACAATATCCTAAAGTGAGAGCCAAGATAAGAACAGATACACGCATACCCATGTTCATCACAGAACTATTCACAATAGCCAAGAAATGGAAATAACCTAAGCACCCATCAATGGAGAAATGGATAACCAAACTGTGATAAATATACACAATGGAATACTATGCAACACTAAAGAATAACGCAGAATCTGAAAAACACTGCATAACATGCTGAGTGAAATAAGTCAATTACACAACACAATGCAACCACTGCCATGGAGTCGGATCCAACTCATAGCGACCCTTCCTTGGGTTTCCGAGGCAGTACTGTAAGAGAATGTACTGCCTCGGAACCCAAGGAGGGATCGCTATGAGTCGGGTCCAACTTGACAGCACATAACAACATCATTACGGAAGTAGATTGCCCAACCTTCCTTCCAAGGAGTGGCTGTGGGTTTGAACCACCAGCCTTATGGTTTAGTGGTCAAATGCCTTAGGCACTACGTCACCAGAGGTCCTAAGTCAATCACAGAAGGACAAATATTGTATTGGTCCACTATTGTAAACAGTCAAGGAAAGGTTTATACATGAAAGGAAACTTTCTTTGTTGGTTACCAGGGATGGGAAGAGAGGGGAGGGAAAGTTCCTAAATAGGTTTAAATAAATTATAGGTGTGTGTGTGCACACGCACACACACATACACACACACCTACACATACAAAGATTATTAGTGGTTACCAAGAGTAGGAGAGTAGGGAGAAAGGGGAAGCTTTTGTTTGCACGGCAGAGTTTATGCTAATAGTGGTGGAATAATTTGGAAAAGGATAGCAATGATAGTGGCACAACATGAAAAATGCTATCAATGTCCCTGAGCTGTAAATGTGGAAGTTACGTTGGTGAATGTCTTGGTATGTATATTTTCACAATAAAATAAAAAATATATATATAAAAAAAGAGAAGTTTATCAATCGAACAAATTCCAGTTCCTTCCTCCCATTTCCCCCAAGGTAGGGGACTACACCTAATTTCCCTCTCTTCTATCTCAGACAGGGGGAAGAAGCCTGCAGCCTCATGGTTTCTCTTCATATCCAGGCCTACCCACAGTCATCATCCCTTCTAAACGATCTCGTCCACCGCTACTCAATTACTTCCTAAAGCATTCCTGTAACCATTAAACTTATTTTTTTTTTTAAACAGTCAATGGCTTCCTACTATCATCACATTAAGTGTAATTATCTCAGACCAGAATTTGATGTACCTTATAGTAATAATTTATTTATTTATAATTTATTCAGGAAAGTTTTTTTTTTAGAGGATTTTTTTTTTACATTATTATTGTTATTTGGGTTAAAGTTTACAGAGCAAATTCATTTTCCACATAGCAGTTCATACAGATTTTGTCTCATGACACTGACTGCAATTTCCCACAATGTAACAGCTCTCTTCCTACTTCCTCCCTGTAGTTACTTCTCCCGTGTCCTTCTTTCCTATGCACTCCTGCTCCCAGTGCAAATACTGTCCTTCTGTTCTCCCATGATCGATCTTTCTACGGAGTGTATCTACCCTGATGTAAACGCTCAACTCTGTATGCCTGTCTATTGCCTGGCTGGAAGCCACAGGAATGAGTTCAATTCCAGACCTTAAGGATAACTAGGGGCCATAGTCTCAGGGGGTCTCACCAGGCTCTATCAGATCAGTAAACCTGGTCTTTTTTTATGATTTTGAGTTTTGTTCCACATTGTTCTCCCACTTTATCCAGGACAGTTTTACTTAACATCTACAATGCCAAACACTGGGTATTTGTTGTTGTTGTTGTTATGTGCCGTCGAGTCGGTCCCGACTCATAGCGACCCCTCCTTGGGTTTCCAAGGCAGTATCACTACGGAAGTAGGATTACCCAACCTTCCTTCCGAGGAGTGGCTGGTGGGTTTGAACCGCCATATAATGAAGAATAATCCCTGTAACTTAGGATTTCACAGACTAAACTGGCTCTATCCTCTTTTCTACTTACCTTTCAGTTTCTCTATACCCACTTATGTTCTGGATAAACTGCCTTTTCTCTGCTCCCAGGCGTGCTTATGCCTGTCTTTGCTTAATTTGTGTCCTCCACCCTGAACACATTCTAAAATCTAATCTCGGTATTGGGTGACAAGTGTGATGGAGCTGAAAGATGTACAGGAGACAAGATAATGAAAGGCATTATATGCTATTCAAAGACATGAAGACCCTAAGACATTAAGAGGGCAGATCCACTGAAATACGTAAGGAATGACATGACCGGCTCACTTCAAAAAGACTGCATGACTCATTCTAGACACTAACTTCTTTCTAAGGACTAACCACAACCCACTGCCATCTACTCAACTCTGACTCACGGTGACCACATGTGTGTTACAGTCCAGCTGTGCCCCATGGGGTTTTCAACGACTGATTTTTTGGAAGTAGATCACCAGGACTTTCTCCCACGGTGCCTGAGTGGACTCAAATTGTCAACCTTTATGCTTGTACCTCCCCAGGAACTCCTCCTTAATTTTAAAACCAAAAAAACCCCCATTACTGTGAAGTCAATTCCAACTCACTGTAACCCTATAGGACAGACACAAATTGCCCCACAGCGTTTCCAACTCTGTAATCTTTACGGAAGCGGACTGCCACATTTTTCTCCCGTGGAGCAGCTGGTGGGTTCAAACCACCAACATTTTGGTTAGCAGCTGAGCACTTAACCAATGTACTACCAGAGTTCCTAAGTCCTTAATCTTACACCCCTTCTAATTACTGTTTTCTATCCTTTTATTCATAGAGTCTCAAAAGAGCAGTCCATGCTAGCTCCACCTCCTCGTCTCCCATTCCTTTTCTGAACATACTGCAATCTGATTTGGGGTATCATCATCTAAGGAATAATACCTTTACCAAGTTTGCCACTGACCCCTAAGCTTTTCAATCCCCAAAGCATAGAAAATGTTCTCATTTTGCTTGACTTCTCTATAGCATTCCATGCTACCTCCTTCTCCATCTTTTAACTCTCCACTCCTGTCATTTTAACTTCTGGGATTCTGCTTGTTCTTGGTTTGCTTTCAGTTTTGCTGGTTACTCTCTTTCTCAGTCTCCTCTCTTTTCTTCAGCCTCCTTCCCTAGAGTGGAGGTCTTTCTGATACTTATCAGATGGGGACTGGTTGTGTCTAGTATGGCAAGCCTGTCAAGAATGAACTCAGCTATCACATATTCCTGGCAGGTTATGCTGACACTTTCATCCTACTTGTCTGAGCCCTTTTCTTTTTCCTCTCTTCTACAGTCCCACAGCACTTGCAAGCACATTTATCATACGTTGTCACCAACTCTGTCTCCCCCACTAGACTAGAAAGCAAGGCATATCTTTTAGCCCTACATTCCCAGTTCCTTTGCACAGTACCTGGCATAACGTAGGCATCCCATAAATGCTTGTAAAATTAGTCACTGTGTACCTACTGTAGTTATTTGTATCCATTTTTACCTCGCCTTTGAAGTGCCTCCAAGCCTAGGAGGATGTCTTCGTCTTTTTCTTTTCCCTCCCCCGCAAAGCATAAATATATTTAGCACTTAATTAGAAACACTGGCTGCTTTTCAGTAAACCTTAACCCCATTCCAACACTCATATCTACACATTTGCTCCAGCCAAGTCAGATGGTTGGTGTCTCTAATGAAAGAGGTTCACGAAGGAGTCATCCTTTCTTAAGATATAGGTGGAATCACGGGCTCCCGAGGTGTGCGCACGGGGGCGAGGGAGAACAAAGCAGAGTTTATATAGTCCTGTGGGACGTGGGCAAGACGTCCAAAATAGGAGAAAACTGAAGACTTTCTCATTTCTCTCCATTTCTCCCTCGGTACCATATGCGCTTCTTCGCCTCCCGGGCAGTCGCACTGAAGTGCATGCGGGGTACACCAGCACGTATTCTTTCGCCTCCATCCCAAACCTACTCCTGCGGGGGCAAACGCTTCCTAGTTCCACCGTACGCATGCGCAATAGACGCCACAAGGCCCGGTCCTGTCTGGCGCACCGTGACCCTCCCTTAAGTCACGCGCACACTGCTCTCTCTTCTCTTTCCTCTCTCATTCCCTTCTTGCCTACAAGCCTCACCTGCGGGGCTCGTGCTCTCTCCGTCCCCAATCCACTCGGGCTCCGGCGGCTGCTGCTTAGGCCCCTTCGGCATGGCGGTGGCAGTTATAGGTACTCCGGCGGCGCCCGGTACTATTTCCGCTTCCGGCGGCGTGGAGCCCAGTGGGGAGGGCTCTCCCGGCCGGCTGGCGCGGCCGACCCCGCCCCCGGGCGGCGCACGTGCAGGCCGAGCCATCATCCTAGATATCTGCTTGTGGCCTGGCAGAGGCGTGGCCTGCAGTGACAGGGAGGGGTAGGCGTCGGCCCGCTCCCGTAGAGTCAGCAGAGCTTTTATGACGGTCTGGGAATCCTGACCCCATTAGTCCTGCGACGTCGCGTCACTCTAGGGGACTGAATTAATTTAATAATTTGCGATTAGTACGAATGAGTCGAGGCATACTATTTTTAAGGGTTTATTTTAATTGTTGATACACACACACACACACATATATATACACATATATATTTTTAAGGTAGTTTAAAAAAATATTGTTATTTGGGTGAAGGTTTACGGAGCAAATTCATTTTCCATGGAGCATATCATACACACTGTGTTCGATGACATTGACTGTAATTCCTCACGATGTAGCAGCTCTCTTCCCAATTCGTCCCTGTAGTTACCTCTTCCCTGTGTCTTTCCCTCCCAAGAACTGCCCCTCAGTAGATATATTTTAAAGTGGATGCTGCTTTCCACTAGCACCTTACATCTGGTTACTAAGTCGCAGACCATCAACTCAGTAACAGACCTTCTCCATCCAGTGTTGAGATGTGTCACATAATCCCAAAGTGTACAGATAATTTGGTCCCACCTCCTCAAATTTAAATGAGAAACTAGAGCCCAAGGTGCTAAAAGCACAGTGCAGTGGAGCTTGTGTTCATTTTTTTTTTTTTTTAATAGTGACTTGGGTGAAAGTTTACAGAGCAAATTCATTTTCCATACAGCAGTTCACATACACTTTGTCTCATGACATAGAGAGTTTACACCAATGCAACACCTCCCCTCCCACTTCCTCCCAATAGTTACCTCTTCCTTGTGTCCAACCCTCCATGGACTCCTGCTGCCTGAGCTGTCTCCCTGTGCATAAACAGCCCTTCTTTCTCTCGTGACTGTTCTCTCCAAGGGATGTATCTTCCTCAGGTAAATGTTCATCTCATATGCCTGCCTTTTATTTGGCTGGAAGCCACAGGTGTGGGTTCAATTCCAGACCTGAAGGGCAGCTAGGGACCATAGTCTCAGTGGTTCCACCAGGCTGTATCAGACCAGCAAACCTAGTCTCCCTTTATTTTTTTCCAAATGATTTTGACTTTTGTTCCACATTGTTCTCCCTCTCTATCCAGGATCTCCTACATAGATCCCCCTCTGAATGGTTGGCAGTGGTAGCCAGGCACCATGTAGTTCCTCTGGTCTCACAGTCATATTGGCTGAGGATCTTATAGTGTATCAGTCACGAGGAATAATTGTTTCCATGAATCTTTGATTTTGTTCATTCTTCTTTGCTCTGGACGAGGAGAGCCCCTTTGTTGCATCTAGATGGCTGCTTGCAAGCTTTTAAGATCCCAGTCACTACTCGCCAAAGTAGGAAGTGGAACAGTGTTTTGTGTAGTATGTTATGCCAATTGAGCTTGATGTCCCTTCTGACTATGGTCCAAGCCCACAGGTTCAACTACTCAGTCCCTGTGGGTAGCTGGCTGTGACCAAGAAGTGACTACAACCTTGTCCCTTGTCAGCTCTACTATACCCCTGGGAGTTCTTACAGAACATACAAATACACTTGTAGAACCATTGTCTGCCAGCCATATACATAATCTTGTGTACACTCCCTGCTGCACAGACATACCTAATAGTTCAGCCTGTCCACCCATCTATCCACTCATATACCTGTGTTTTCCTTCATTGACAGCACAGTACTGTATGTGCAAAAGGGTTCATCTTTGTTCTCTGCACCTCCCATGTACCTCTCTATGTCTTCCTCTTCCTCAATGCCACCAT